AATAGATGTTCTTGACTTTCTTTTAAATAATCAGCCAGCATGTTATTGGTCTGTAGTTTTCAGGTGTTGTTCCTTTAGTTGCATCTTTCTGAATCAAGTATATTTTTCCAGTTGTCAACCATTCATCAATTTGGCCCTTTTGTAAAATGAAATTTTACAAATTTCATTCAGTTGCCTGGCCAATATTGCATGTAAACTGGTCAGATATTTGAGCCAGAAACCATGTAATTGGTCCTTTCCAGGTGATGTCCAATTCTTTACCTTTTTTACTTGATTTTTAACCATCTCAGTTGTTATTTCTAATACTTGCATTTGTTTGTATGTAATGGTGATTAAAAATACTCAGTATATCTCTAAACAAACTGCTGAATAAATCATTGAAACTACACAGTATTTTCAACAAACTAAAATCACAGATACTGCTGAATCTGTCAGGTCCCCATAGATCCCTATCATGAGGGGGCCCTGGTAATATTTAATGATCTTTTCTTATTTCTGTGTTTTCCTTTACTTTGATGTATCTTCCTGGGAATAGGAAGGGGGAGGGATGAGTCTGGGGCTATCTGTTTTGTCTCAGCTTGAGAGGGACAAGGAAGCAGTGTTTGAGAACAACTTATCACCTTCACAGTTTGCAGTTCCCACAACAACTTCACACTTGTGGATTGGCTCACCTCAGATTGGACAGAGGGGAGAGGTTTCTACATCTTTTAACCTAATAGCTTTGAGCAAGAACTTTAGATCCTGCCTATTCTTCTTGCTATCACTATTGCCAATAAAAGTTCCTTTTGAAATGTTGCCTGTGTCAAGAATTCTGATTTCTTCCAGGGATAGGAGAGGCAAGTCCTTACACTCTCCTAATATCTTAGGATATAGGCCTGAACCTAAGCAATTATTTACATTTAGATTCTGTTCATGTGTTGTGTTTCTATCTAAAAGTAAATACAAAATAAATACTTGTTTATTCTAAAGATAATAAAGTGCATAATAAGGCAAAAATGAAACCTAATGGTTGGAGGGAGAAAAGAACATTATTAGTAATAGTTGCTAAATATTTGAGAAATACAGCATAATATGGTTTTATTTCTGTTTGTATTTTATTGTGATTATGAAACTAGACAATTTAAATAATGGGTATGTCATGCCACTGTTGGAGCCTGGATCCATGGAAGAGGATGAGCCAGAGCTGGAGCCAATGGAGGTTGAGGGAGCAGCCTCATTGGCTTCAGAGAAATGGGGGCGGAGCAGGATGAGGCGGCCCTGGGCCCTTTGAGCCAGCAAGGAGGAACAGGGGCAGGATGACCAAGAGAGGGCAGGCAGTGAAAATGCGGTTTGATGGAGCTCAGGCGATGAACAAGGATTGCCTCCTCCTGATCCCCACGCATGGAGAGTAGAGAGGAGGCAGGAACAGTGCAGACTGACTTGATGACTCAGGAGGAGAGTGCCCTGCTCCTCTTCACAAGGCACACCTGGGGACTTAGACTTAAGGAGATGCTGTGAGGAGGGGCATTTGTCGGGAACAAACACAGAATTTATGAAGTTTTGTGCACTGTTGCTGACATCTGGAGTTTTTTCTTGCTTTATTCCTTCATTTGTGGATTCATTGCCTTGTTTCTTTGCTGTGCTGGCCTTCTTGCTTTGAAGCTGCTGACTACTTTGCTAGGCTACTTGCAGCCAGAGGCTGCTGTGTGTGTATATATATATGAGTGCTTTGCTCCGGGGCTTGCCATAAATGTGGGAGCATTTGGGGGAAGGTTGGAGCAATAAAGGGGAGTTTGAACTACCAGTTCACTCTGTGCCTTTGTGCCTTGTCCTGGGTCATTACAGGGTATGTCTTCTTTCCAGCTATACATCTAGGTTTTTAATTTGTTGTGGATCCTGCAATATGCAGGTAACTACATCTTATCTACAATATGTGTCAATTAAGAGCTATCACAGATTTTTACAGTTTTTCTACAAAGAAAAATAAGCAAAATGTTTCAAGCTATTTAGCAATAAATTGTGCATTTTCTCTGCAAGGATTTTCTTACATTTTTATATGCATCATTTAACCTCTGTCTAAATTAATTCTATATTCTCTTATAATTTTCAAAATCTAAAAGGGAGCCCAGATGCTGTCCATTTTCTCCACAGGGAGAAAAATATATCTCAGTATGAATAATTTTAGTGTTATAGAATAAACTGAAATAGAAGAATATGCATTTCAAAAGCAGAAACTATAAAAAATGATAATTAGTTTGGGAATATATGCATATGTATAAAGGTTAACTCTCATATTTCTGAACGTTCTCATTTCATTTCAAAAAATCTATTTGTGCCACTTATTAGAAAATATATTTTGCCCAACTGTAGTACATTCATTCAGTACATTTTATTTTACATAAAATTATTTTTGGTTCTTCCATTATCACAATTCATTATTAACCTTTCACAGGTAACTATCACCAACCTATCGATTCATACTTTTATACATACCCACAACAGCATAAATGGCACCAATTCATATTTAAACATCATTTTAGTCACTCCTTTTGTAATTATAAACTTTCACTTAACTTTATGTTCTCATCAACTCATTCCACAAGATCCAAGAATCCTTATTCAAATCTGGTATAACCTTTGTCTTTCTTTTAGATTCATAGACACACAACATATATCCCCTTACTCTTAGATTGCAAGCTGAAGTCTTCCAACTAACATGGTTGTGACAAAATAAGCCTGTAAATATTGATTTCCATCATGGATTTCATATAAGCTTTTTATAAGATAGAAAATGTATAGATTTAATTGCACCAAAGACTTATGAAACATAATCAGTCAACACTAAGGATACAATTGATCAATTTTGACCCTTTCAGGCCACAAGTTGTATGTCACAATCACAACAGAAATATAGTTTTGCGATAAGCAAATTCATCTATTCTATGCAAACTAGGATTTCTAATATATAAACTACTTTGAAAACCATTTTACTGTGGCCCATACCCTACCAGGTAAGAGATATACAGTATGCAACATACCAATGCATATTTCTGTTAACAATAAAAACTTCAAAGACAGGATAATCAAAACAACTCATTCAGGAATGCTTCCTAGAATATAAATGTAGTTGAAGACAAACCAAATACATTTGTAAACTATTTTTCAATTAAACATAAACATCATGAAGATAGTTTCTATTTAAAAATGGTGCAATCAAGATAATTTAGACAGCAAAGTGATTTAGTCAGAAGAATTAATAATAATAAATATTGTTTATGTATTTCTTGCTGATAAAAAAGGTTAAAACATACCTTATGACACATGCATAAAGCCCACTGTCTTGTGCCAGTGTTGGACGAAACCAAATAGCATCTTCTTCTTTGCTCATTCTATTTCCATCAAAAGCTATAGGTTCCTCAAAATCTCCGGGTCCAGAACTCTTGTACCACATTAAACTGAGTCCAGCACTTTGTGCTATGGTATAATTTGCTCTTATATAACCGTAAAACAATGCACATTTTATACGAACAGGTTCTCCTACTAAGACTTGATACTTTTTGTAATCCACTGACCAGTCAGTACATCCATCTGCTGAAAAAGGAGAAAAAAGAGGGGCAAAAATGAGTTTTAAGAAGTTGTATTCTGCAAAATATTAAATAGTTTCTGCTCAGTGTACAATGTTATGTTTTGATTTGGAACTATGCAATTAATAAGAGAAATACTGAAGGGAGACAATACATATTTGAGAAGTTTAATCTTTTCAAGAACAGTCATGACATTTCCTTATCATTACTGTTTTTTCTTCAGCATAGAACATCATATCTTCCTTCATGATTTCAGAGAATTTCAATCCAACACCAATAAGGTACCATTCTCCCCTTTGAACTCCTAAAACAACACTGATTAAAAGTGTTCATGTTTTATAGTTGTTCTGTAATTGTTTTATTCTTCTATTAATGGAATTGCAAACTGCACAGAATCTCTGTCAACTTCAAACCAAACCTGGCAGCAGCCTTTTTTCTGTTTCTCAATTGCCACACAGAAGGGGAAGGGGGGAAGGAGGTTGGAATGCCTTAATGGAAACAACAGAGAGATTGCTCATGAGAACCAAAGTCATCTCTATTGGCAACGGCTAAAGTCAGGAAAGGAGTGCCTGAACAACCCGTCAATTAACCCAATTGGCCAACATGACCTGTGACACTTGGGGCTGGGGTTAATTCCTATTTTAATTATACTGAAACTCTGGGAAAGATTTAGAGTTGGTTTCCTTTGAAGCTGTGCCAATATGATATATTCAATAAAGATGAGCTTTGAGGAGGATCCTAGTCTCGGAGTTCTGATTTGCTTGGGTTTATTAGTCGGAACCTTGACATTAAACCAACTCTCTTAAACCTACCCCAAGCCCTGGCCACTACCTGACAAAACCAGGAGGATGGAAAAGACTCAAGGGAGATCAGAAATGGAAAAGACGGAGGAAGCAGCTGCTAAGTGAAGCAAGGCCCCAGGGCTACACAGCCAGCAGGTCAGGCCAAAGAGACAATCCTTCCACTGGCAACCAGGCCAAAGGCCTGTGTGGAAAAGACTAAAAGGCCAGCAATATGAAAGGATGCCCTAACCACCGAGGAACTCTACCGAGCAGAGGGGGAAACTTGGTGCAGTGGGGTACCAAAAGCCACTGAAGCAGAGTTCCCCCTGAGGTCTCCTCGATCGTCGACTGCCCTCATTCCAAATGGAAGGCAAAGAGGACTGCTGAGTGGGATGAGCACAAAAAATGGAAGTACCTAACCATCCTTCACAGCCCATTGGTAGAGCAGCTGACGGAGAGATTCAACCACATGGAGAGCTGAAGAGTGGAGCCAATGCACTAACCTAGGCCATCTGTGGTGACAGCGGCTTCAGCAGCTCAGCCATGTCTAACCCTCTGGAGTCCAAGCCCAACCACAGCAGACTGAGTAGCCAGACTGCCTCCCCAGCCAGTTGGGGCAGCAAGCCCAAGCCAAAGATGTAGCCTGCCATGGCAGCAACGAGCAGCGAGTCCAGTGGGGCTAACTTCACCCTCCCTCCTCTGCCAGCAGACCCACCACTAATAAAGACCCAGAGAAGTTGGCATTCTTCCTCAACCAGATGTGGGCTAATCTAGACCACTATGTCCCAGCCTATCCATCGGACATTGTGATGGTGAATGCCATGGCCACCAATCTAGTGGTAGAAGCCATGGAGTGGGTGATGAGATTCCATGATGAAGACATGCCAGAGCTGGGGAATGTCTATGTCTTCCTGGGGGAGCTGAGAGCCAGATTTGAAAACAAATCCCAAGCCCTGCAGGCTGAAATAAAATTCTGAGACCTAAAGCAGTGAAGGAGGAAGTTGGGGAGTTCCGCAGAGTGGCCGGCAAACTGAGAGAGTGGCCAGACCGACTGTTGGTTTACCATTTAAAGGAAGGCCTGGACCGAGAATTACTACAGGCCTGCATCTACCATGGAATCCCAGAACAGATCCATGATTGGTACTGGATGGCCATAGCTTTGGACCTTGAGCTAAAGCAGTGCAAGTAGCACAGTGTGCCAAACCAAAGCCCAAGCAGAACCAAGAAGGCTGCTGATTTGGTCACCAACCCGTCACTATTACACCTACTGGTCATCACAAAAACAAGCTTTTGAGGTGTTGTCACAAAGAGGGGGTGGGGCAATGTATTTTCCAAAGCAGCAGAAAGCAAAACAAGAAGCAATGATGGAAACTGGACAAAAGAGAAGCAACCTAAAACTAAGGAGAAACTTCCTGACAGTGTGAACAATTAACCATTGCTATTGTGCATGTGCGAGTCCTGAATGGCTGCCTGGCTTTCTCGCTCTGTAGAAAACCGGATGAAAAAAGACCTCGGAGAGCCTTCGAAACTTGTTAATTTATTACCAAAGGTCACCCGAGGAGGATTGGAGTCTGGGGAGTAAGAGAGGAGAGAGGACCAGGCACCTGGAAGTCTTCTGAAGTTCATGAATGGGGGAAACTCTCAGCGGCCTGGATTTACGGCCTAGATTTACACCCTGCGGCGTGGAGAGGAAGACGGCGCCGCGCTGCTGACAGTAGCGTTCTACTATAGCCTCCGGCCGGACAGCAGCATTTATTTACAACCTTTGGCATTTTTGGAGTTTTGGAGTTTAGGGAGAGAGAGGAGAGAGGATCGGACATCTGAAGCCCTGAAAAAAGCATTCAAGAACCAGGAGTGACGCTGCCTCCTCCTTCGTCATCATGATGGCAGTTCTCTATCTTAATTTATGGCGTTTGTGGAACTTATTTTTACTTGATTCCAACTGAGCGGTGAGCCTGAGGACCCTACTATTTATCATCACCCCAGAAAGATGGGGGTTTATCGGGGACTTTTCAGGATTGGTGGATCAGGCGGCTGGCTGTGCTTGCCGTCGCCTTCCTTGGACCCCCCCCCTCCATTCCGCTCGCTTCGCCCATGGACACAGCCTCTCCTATTCGCCCTTCTGCGGGTCTGGGCGTGTAAAATCCTTCCTGCCCAGTATTGACATTTTACTTGTCTGGCCGTGACCATCTCGGCGNTAAATATTTTTTTATAGAGTGACAAATGCCTTTTTGTAATCAATCCAGACCATATTCAAGTTCGTTTTTCTGTTCTTACAATTTTCTAATATCATTTTATCAATTAGAAGCTGATCTTTTGTGCCCCTGCTCCTTCTTTTGTTGCCTTTTTGCTCTACTGGCAAGATGTTGTTTGTTTCCAAATAATCCATCATGTTATCTGCAATAATGCCTGTGAGTAATTTGAAGGTTGTTGGTAAGCATGTTATTGGTCTATAGTTTTCAGGTGTTGTTCCTTTAGTTGGATCTTTCTGAATCAAGTATGTTTTTCCAGTTGTTAACCATTCATCAATTTGGCCCTTTTGTAAAATTTCATTCAGTTGCCTGGCCAATATTGCATGTAAACTGGTCATTTATTATTATTATTATTATTATTATTATTATTATTATTATTATTATTATTATTATTATTATTTTAAACTGAGTGCAAAATAACTCAAGAAATTAAACAGTAAATAATATAAGGTTATGAATTCTCTTACGTAAGAAAATGTATTATCAATAATATGTGGAACCAACAAGTTTGCTAATCTGACAGCAATAACAACAAGTGATGGTAAAAGATGATGGACCAATTCCAACATAACAGGGAAATTTTTTTTCATCATAAGAGTTGATCTACACGACTTCTTTGGTTGGATGTCATTCCACTATCTCTCCACCCTTCTTACACTGAGGAAGCTGAAAGCACATAATGGCTGAGTTCACACCAGTTTTGTTGTATTACAACTCCCCAGGAGCCTTTGCCATTGACCATACTAGGAAGAGGTTGATGATAAATGTGTTCAAAATCTCCAGACAACACCGAGTTCCAGATCACAACCATACTAAACATGCTGTTGTTGGTTTGATTTTGGCTTATATTGTAATTCAGCTGTTACATTTTGTGATCCTAGTTTGATGGATCATTGTTACATGTGAACATTGCCTCTGCACCTTAATTAACAAATCATTGTTAGGAAAAGTCATAGTTTCATACAATGGAACACAAAGTGCTTTGGGGCTACCTTAAGTTTAAGTTTAAAAATGTTTTAAAACTTTTAATGTATCAGAAATAAATAGACATTAAATAAATTTATATAAATTATCTCTCTATAAAAATTATAGTTTATTGGATTGCTTTGGTAGACAAGTAAAAGAATTTTTCTTTCATTCTGAATGCTCCATCACTGGAGGCTTTTAAGAATAGACTACCTATCTGACTACTTACTACTTTTAAGAATATACAAACTACTTATCTGGAAAGGCATAGAGTCTCTTGGTCAAGGTTCCTTCCAATTCTATTATTATGTCCATGTCTACAAGAAAGGTGGAGAGAAGGTGTAGATCATGATCAAGCTGCTTCATTTTATTCATGTTTCATGATGTGATTAAGCTTGACAATACTGATGAATGGAATTTGAATGAAATTGGATATATTTCTGTCCTGGAAAATCTGGTCAAACTGACTGAAAACTTGCTTCCTCATTTTTAAGGCCTCATTTTCAGGGCATTGTGGAAGCATAGACATGGAAGGGGTCATACTATAAATCAGAATATCCATCCCCTGCATACAAGATCCAAATGAAAGTATCCATGACAGAAGGTTGTCCAATCTCTACTTGATTACATTTCAGATAGGAATCATTTACCACTGGCAGAAGATGTCAGGAAATTTTCAATAACTTTCAATACAGATTCAAAATCAGAATCTGTATTCTTGTAATTTAAATCCATAATTCTGCATCCTTTTCTCTTGATGTTCATCTGTGCAACATTCTTGCAGCTACTTGAAGACTCTGTTATTTAATCTTGTCTTCTCAAGACATCACCATTGCAAAGTAGATCAAACTAGACAATCAGAAATTCTCATGCTACTTTTATTACAAAAGTTGTCGTAACAGAATCTTGCAAGTCTGAATGTGCATCCCCTCTCCTTTATTTTCGAGAG